CAATATTAGATATTATAATACATATATAATATTATATGCAATACTATTATATATACAATATTAGATCTAATAATATTATTAGAATATAAAATATTAGATATTATAATACATATAATATTAGATCTAATAACATTAATGGAATATAAAATGTTATTAAAATATAAAATATTATTAGAATACAAAATATTATTAAAATATAAAATATTAGATATTATAATACAAATAATATTAGATGCAATACTATTATATATACAATATTAGATCTAATAATATTATTAGAATATAAAATATTAGATATTATAATAAATATAATATCAGATCTAATAATACACATTACTGGAATATAAAATGTTATTAAAATATAAAATATTATTAAAATATAAAATATTATTAGAACATAAAATATTATTCTACTGTCCACAAAAAATGCCATACAAATTACCCGGTGTTTTAAACAAATTGAAAAATTGTAGAGTCTAATATATAACAATACTCTTAGGGATACCCAAGTCTAACGAAGATTAAGCTTCTTTCAAAATCGGACATTTCGTTACGCTGCAATCTCGCGTCAAATTGTTGCGTTTAACACGTTCACCATCGCCGCGGTCCATCTCCATTGCTAAAACGTTTCATTAAAAGCAACGCACCTCGTTCGCGGAATATTAAAACAATTTAGCAAACGAAAGTTACGGACAGCCCGACTATGTACCACGCTGTGCACCATGACTTTGCATAACCAACGTGCATAAAATTACTTTGACCATTTTCATGGAAAGCATGGGGATCGTGAACGTCGCCGCGTGCGTGCCACGCTGTGATTACGAACGCGTTGTACGTAGAGAGCAATGTCCAACTCTGTGCGTGCCATTCATTCCACGAAAAATCGATGGAGATATTATGTGAACGTGACAATCGTGGAATATTCTCTCCTTTCTTTTCTTCGAGTTCTGCTGTTCTCTTTTAAATTGTTTCGACGGCGCAGTTGTTGCTCTGTTTGTATCAATTTGAATTTTGATGTAGCTATATCGTTATATACCGCATACTATATCCAACATACTATATACTAATATATATTATACATTATACATACTATATACTACAATATAGTATATATTATATACTACTATATAATACTACATGCTACTACATACCACTATATACT